CACTAAATTCTTTCTTTGATAATTTCGCTGTTGCTTCTTCCTTTATAGTACTTACTGATGTATTATCTTCGACAGCATCTAAATATGTTCCTACCTTAACACCTTTTTCTAATTTTATAGTTTTATTTGTAGGGTTGCACAGCCTAACAGGAACTTGCCTTTTCCTAGTTGGGGAAACCAATACATGTGTTCCATTAACTCCTTCTATTTCTATAGGGACGGTTTCTATTACCCCTACTCCTTTCTTTTTATTATTACCTTGAATTCTAGCAATAACTATATTATCTGTCCTAGGAGGAAGTCTACAGGTTTCTATTAAAACTACATCTTTTCTTCTTCTTAATTGCTCACCTGACCCCCTTTTATTTGGCGTTTCCTTTCGCTTGCTTGATCGGGCAATCCCATCCGGGTTTCGTGGTTTAATACCGCTATCTCTTTTATCTAATTGCAATTGATATTTCTCAGTACGACTAGTATTTATAAAATCTCTATCTCTAAATTTTTCCTGAGTTCGGGAATAATTTCTACCTTGATCTCTAACTTGAGGTACCTTTCTCGTGATTCTACCTTCTTGGCAATTTGTAAATGGATCTATTATTCGTGAAGGTTTACACGGGTCTATAAACGGAACAGACGTCCTTCCGGATATTTGTACCCTTCCATTCTGTAAATCAGGTATAATTCCTTTCCTAACTGTCATATCTCTCCCTATAATGCCATTGCATGGGTAGGTGACTTTTATGTCCACTATACAACACGCAAAGGGGAAACTTACGTTACCAATCTGAAAAAGAGGATTCACAATTCCATAGGTTCTTATAGAGTGTCCAGTGGCGCTTCTTAGATCTGTCTTTACCTTATAGTCAACAGGTATCTTCTGTTTTTCAGCAAAAGTTTTTCAGCAAATGCTTTAGACATGAGCATAACTTTTGCTTTTGTGTCAATATGAAAAATCGCCGGAATTCCTTCTATATAACAGGTCAATGCAGGTTCATGATGAATTCTTAAATATTCTAAATCTTCTTCCGTTTGGTATATTTGTCTATGATTTGACATTGGTTTACTGTTATTATAAGAAAAATATCGAGAATGTCTTACTCTGCCTCCTCTGTTTGATAGCTTATGAGCCGATTTAAACGTATATAGTTGTCTTCTGTCTCGTCTTCCTTCTACACTATTTACTGCACCCCTCCAAGAATTCGAATTTCCTTGATTAAAGCGAACTTCTTTTTTATTTCCATAATTATCTCTTTCACGAATATTTCTCTGAGGGATTCGTCTATTCTCATTATTTCTATCTCTATTCCTTCGAGAATCCTCATCTCTCGTCATATTATTAAACGGAGGTTGATAACTATTTCTATGCATGGCAGCATTTACTTCTCTCCGACGGAAGTCGAGTGTTTGTGGTCGGTTTCCGTTAGGAACTTGTTCCGTTGATCGGAAATATTTCGTATTTCGTCCTCTTTCTCTATTCCTTTCTTCTTGTGATTTTTTTACAAATGTATTGAATTGATTTCGTAAATCTCCTATAGCCATAACCACTTCTTTCATTTGTTGTTCGGATTTCGATTCTATTTCCGTTAACTTATCCTCTTTGTGGTTTATTAATTCTCCCTCTTCCTTCATTACCTTCAAAAGACCTCTAGGATGAGAAGTGAGGAGCTCGATATTCTCCTCATTTATTGCTATTTTTAAAGTCTGGTCAAATGTTTCGGGTTCTCTTGACATGACTCTTTTTCTTATCTTTATGTCGACCCCATTCATAAATTGTACCTTTAACCTTTCATCTAACTCTTTCTCTTTGACTCTTTTTATTACCGCTATTTCAGCGTCATTGGCCCCCTCATGCGTTATTTCAACTTCTTCGGCCAGAGCTTGGAGACGTACCGCATAAGTTTGTACGTCCTCATCTCTCGCCTGGACGCATGCGTAGAACTTCTGGATTCTATAAGTGTAGGGAATCTTTTCGAAACGCGCTATCATTATTTTTTTAAATTCGTCATAATCATCTACTTCCTATCTTTTCTTACAAATTCTCTGGCAATACCAACTAATTTTAATTTAGCAACAACCAGCATCTGTGCCTTTGACCATGCTGCTACTCTAGTCACATCCGCTAATATATCGAAAAATTCGGATACTTTCGGACCTTTTACATCCCCTGAAAATACCGGTAAGAGCGGAATCATTCCACCTAATCCGCCTAACGTTATTGGATTACCAGCTAACGTAGCTCGCGGTGGTTCTTACCTATCTCTATCCATTTTAAATTATCTCTATACTTATTACTAACTTAAAATAAATCAAATTATTATTATACTCCTTCAATACAGATTCTATCTATCTACATCAATCGACTATATGTCTCTCAATCCAAATCAGATCTCCCATCAATTCAATTCGAAAACCTTTCTTCTGGGACAGATTCAGACCCCACTCCTGCTGCACCACTTGTGAGATTGGCCAAGGGTATAGGGTTGATCCTATACCTCTTAGGGGCTCAGATTAACCGAAATCTGTTCTCTGAGTTTCGGATCGAGAGATCCGATCCTAATCAGGATTTTGACCGGGAGGCCTTTTTAATATTAGAGAGGATATAGACGGCAAAGTCTTTATCCAATGTCAGGATTCGTGACACCAGTTTATCAAATGAAATGACTCTTAATTTGTGTCTGAATCAGATCTCACACGCGTGTTTGTCCGCGGAATTTAATTGACATAACACTACTACTAAGAGATAGAGGCAGATGAGTTAACCATTCAGATATTAATCAAGGAATAAGATTTTTCGAAGAAAGTCAAAACTAAGAAACTAGTTAGAAGAAAAGGAAGCATGATCCTCTCCCGAACTCCGGATGTGAGATCCAGCCTGGGGTACAGATCTTGGTCTTTGCCGCTTACGGGGACCATTCATCAGTTCAGTCATTAATCCAGGTCTTATAGAATCAATTTTCTTTTTGAGAAAGATTTACTAGAAATTAAAAGGAACGGAATACAGAAATAACTTGAAGATAAGGGAGTACGACTTGATTATTATTATTATTATTTTCCAATTTGAACTGTGGTGATGAACATTTTTTTTCATCATTACCGAAATCATTCTCCTTCTTGAAGATTAGGCCCTTCAATAGTGGAGTAAGAACCTGTCAGAGGTCAAGTAAAATATCGAAATTATACTTCCTCGTTCACGTCACTCCCCGTATTTGACCCAGAATCATCATGCTGCTATAATTGATATTTCTTTTTCTGATATTAGTGATAAGGATCGCATAATAAGCTCATGTCACATAAAAATATTTGTCTGATGGACTAAAATTACCTCTCTGTTTGAAGATTGGGCCCTTCAACCGGTTTAACAAAAGAAAGGACGTATAAAACACGACTGTTTATTAGAGTCCAACTCCGTCTCTTCTGCAAAATTGTTGCGGTAGACCTATTGACCTCGATTTGGCCACTGTCATCATTTGTGATTTGGTCCATCCGGCGAGCTTTGTTAACTCTTCTGGAGAATCGAAATTTTTTTTCTTCTCTCCTACAAGAATAGGTGACGTCTCATCGAATATCTGTGATTTCAAGCTAAGTAATAAAATGAAATATGATTTTTCTCCTCGGTGAAACGATACCTCTTCTTAACGGACTACCTGGAACCTAAGATTTGTCCCCTCCTTTGTGTTTCTTCACATGCGAGTAGAAATTAATCTGGTCATAGAGCTATATATATATATATATATAGATGTGTGTGTATTTATAAGTGTCACCATTATTAATAGATGTAGATCTTTTGGTGCCAAAGGTCTTGAAAGAGCATGTTTCCTTCGTCGTGGGACACGGAGTGAAATTTACGTTCTCATCTTAAGAAAATATAGCAATTAAGAAATTTTGAGAGACTTTGATGTTAGCATAGAGTTGCGTTTTGCGACAGTAATTTCATCCTTCTGAACTTCTGGTGTGAGAGTAGCTGAGAATATGAATCCTTGTCTACGCCGCCTACGGACTCCCGAACGTAATTTGAACCTGAACCTGAGGATTATCGTTGCATATCATTTCTTGCCTGAATGAAGTCGACTGACCAATAAACAATATTTTCCAGAGCCATGATTTCCTTGAAACTCAAGGTTTCTACTTGAACAAAGTGTTATAATGATATCAGGAGATAAATCTAGGCCAATTCTCCTCCTAGACCACCTGGTGTTGTTGGAAGTTCTTGAATTTGAGAGAAGAAAAGAAGGGACCTCTTCACTCTTTCATCTCTTCTTGTAAGACGTTTAACCTTTCCGATTAAGAAGAAAATACTTGGGGCAAATGTGATTGTACCTTTTGATTGATCTATCCCATGAGAAAACTACAGTCATATGGTTCACGTAACATAACTCTTTGGCATATGTTTGAATATTTTCATGCTCTGAATACAGTCCCTTATGTGCTCTGCATCCATTTAAAATTTGGGTGACTTTTTAGATCTCCCGAGAATATCGGCAATAGAGGATCAAGACCAAGTTCAAGGCCATATGATCAACGTACTCATCTCCCTCCAGACCTGAACCAGCCATTTCTCCTGGAGTCTTCCTTTTGGATTGAGATAAGCGTGATCCAGAAATTATTTTCTAATCAAGAGTAAAAAGACGTCAAGCTCTAAACTTTCTCTGGAATGAGTTCTTAAATGGGAGAGGCTATCTGTACCACTTATGGAGGATGGAATACGTTCTCTTCATCAGATGATATGGAATACGCGTTAATTTCTCACCAAAATGAAATAATATTTTATGACAATATTATTTGTTGAGGGCTGATGCTTTTACTCGAGACAAAAGGGCATGCTGTGCATACTACGATTAAAATATAATGAAACTAAAAAAGGAGAGACGAATTCAGATTAAATATTTAAATATAAACATCAATTTCCAATAATTCCAAATTAACATAAAAATTATATTATCTCAAAATATTGTAGCTTGATTATTAAGTATATTTGTAATTTTGATTAAATTATGTCTTACCATATCGAAAGACGTCATGGCACCGCTGTCGAAAATAATGGCATTGGAGGGATTTCCAACCGGAAGCATGAAAGCAAAGGAACATACGATCGTCACGGGTAATAAAAAATACAGAGGATGAATAGAGATGGCCACTGCCTGTAAATATGTTATTCTATTTTAAGAAAATTTCCTCCAGAGAAATATTATATGAATTTTCAATATATTAACAAATATATTATAATTTGATAATAATAAGTACAATTGTACTTCTTCGTCCAGATATATAGAGTAGCATCTTTTTTACCAGACATTTGCCAACAATATTGATTCGCGTGACTGGCATCCGTCTTGGCACTTACAAAACCTTCGTTTTACTTTGTGGTAAGCCTGTTAGATATTGGGAATATCACAGTATTGGTGTAATATGGCTGCCGTAATTAGCGAACCAACGATTAGTTATTTCGCGGAATAACAAGAAAGAGAGAAAGAAACATTTAGCTTCACGTAATAGGAAGAAAACATTAGATACTTTATGCTTATTCAGAAATTTGTAAGACAACGTTACGTGTAATTGAGTTTTCATTCAGTACTATGTGATTTCGTTAATTCTTACCATAAAAAGAATTTAGTGTAAAAATTAACGGCGCGTTATTGCTAATACGACTCTTAATAATCCGGCCTACCCACTTTTGTTTAATATAAAAATTAATGTCAATCATTCTCTTCTTCATTTAAAAATTCATAGATTTAATAAAAATACATTTTCTAAAACTTTATATCAATAGTATTTTATACACGAAATTGTAACAATTAATTATTGAATATTTTGAAATTTTTCTGCGTAACCATAATTTATTGCAGTAAGTTTTGTGTTAAATTTAAGTAATCCTACACGTTATTCGTAAAGTGACCGTAAGCAAAAAAAAAGTAAAGTCGATCACAAGATAGGAGAATGGTTTGAAGGAGTACGGCATTGCAACACTTGGGCAATCTGTCAAGAGGAAACCTCCCGAGAGAACTTTCTATTGTAAACTGGCCTCTATTTAGGTGTTGCAAACGTGAAGAAAACCCGAAAACTTCGGTGTTCAGTGGTTTTATCCACTATATTCTCGAACATTATCTCTATTAATTTCCGGAATTAGCTAATAAGAGTGGAGAAAATTAATTAATTAAAGGATCAAATCAAACATCATAATTAAGTACAGAATTAAATGCTATGGACATTTTATTTAAAGACAATTTAAGTATAATATGAAAGTACTGTATTAAGTACAAGGTAATATCATATGAAAATCACATTTCTAAGCAGTGATTTTCTCACTGCTTAGAAATGAAAGAGCCCATTAAATGCCTTGGCCGAAACACCTGGAAAGAATAGAAATCTACATAGCCTTCGGGAGAGGGAAGGCAATTCGAAGAGACAAGACAATCTCTATTTCATCAGCCTGGAGAGCTCTATTTGAGTTGGCCTAATTCAATGCATGGTATCTGACATACGCAACTTTGCGCCTTCGATATATATTTTGAAAAAAAAAAAAAAAACATTCTATTCTAAGATTTTAATTTTAACTTTTTGTTCTTCCCTTCATGTTCTATCATCAGTCAAACCTGTGTATGTTAATTGAAAAGTGGCATTACATTTGTCTGTTTTTCTTTGGTAAAGATAAGCTTGGTGCTTGGAGGAGAAATACAGGCAAAAGTCTTTAGAAAACAATAATACAGGCAAAAGTCTTGTGTGTACCGCTTGGAATGTCTTGTGTGTACCATGCTTAGCTTTACCATGGAAACACTAAGAAAAATTTTATATCGTTTTCTTTTTCTATTACGTAATTTTGTTAAGAGAAAGAAAAATTTCTCTTACCATTTCATTAATAACAGGAAGAACTATTGTAGTAATGGACATGTTGCTTACTACCTCTGTTAAAGCTGACGTTACGAAAACTAATATGAGTAACACAACTTGAGGAGACAGAGAACGAAGATGAATAAGCTGACTTCCTAACCAAGTGGAAAGTCCCGATTTCTTAAAAGAAAAATAATTAGACTCTATAATATTATAATAAAATTAATGTTTTAATAATTTTAAAAATGGAAATTACCTTAGAAGCTTCGGCCACAGTAAATCCACTTCCTAGCAGTAATAGAATGCCCCAAGGTATCTTCTTTTGAGCAGTTTTCCAGTCTAATAGTGAAGGACTGGTCTTCATACTACTCGGTTTCGCTGGTATTACGAACAGAAAAAGGCATACGGCAATGGCTGGAGTAGCATCTCTTATTCCTCTATAAAAAATATCACATATAATAAATCATCTAACGAATAATGTATCTTATGAAATAGAAATTAGTAAATTATCTTGCTTACGATCCATAAGGAAATAAAGAAGACCATCCCGTGATAAACTGTGGTTCTCTCAAGAACCACAAAAATACTAATATTGTAAAGAGACCAAGAACTGCAATTTCGTGAAAACTGAAAGATAAATTTGTTACAGATTTAAAATACTATAATCTAATTAAAACAACTCACAAAAGAGATTTCGTATATTTACCTAATACTTCCTAATTCTTCGTATGATTTTTGAATAACATTTTTAATTACATTCTGTGCATCTTTATCGGTAGTGATACTATCGAATAAAGTAATTATCATATGAAAATTTAAATTTAATGTATAGACCAGAGGTGAGCAACCCTTGGTACGCGTGCCATTGAAAAACTCCAAGAAAAAACTTTCCATCGCAGATATAACGATTTTGACACGCACACTTAAAGAGCTCTGTTGCCCACTCCTGTTATAGACTTTAATTTGACTTACCAACATCCAACGAACATAATTTGTAGAATAATCCAAGATAAAATGACGCATACGATCATGGCGGGTGCATTGTAGAACAACCAAGATGCAAACGTTAATTCAATTGATTTTGGATAGGTACTGCGGCATTGACAAAACAATACATTAAATTATGTTAACGGTCGATAATTTATAATGGAACTTACTCTTCCATGAATCCTTTGAGAACTAAATTTGGTCCGGAACCGATAAGAGATCCCGTTCCTCCACAATTTGCTGCGTAAGCTACGCTCAAGAGCAATGCCTTGTTTAATGTTTTGTAATTAATTTCTTTTCCGTTTGTGAGAGAATCTTCTGAACTAAAAATTCTATTTTTTAGTTATGACTAATTAAAATAATTTTTATGTTTTATTTTCCAAAAAATTTACCTTTGAACTAATGTATTAGGAATGGTATCTATTGTATTTACAGATTCTTTCCTGTTCTGTGTTGGAATGTAGAGCACTAGATATAGTAATATCTATAATTAATATAATTCTTATATGCAAATTTGTAAACAGATTCAACGATTCAAATTGAAATTCATGTATGACATATATTATATATTGAACAACATGTAACATACATTATTTCGAATTTTAATTAACATTAAAAATCCCTCTGAGATCAATCATTCCTGTTGAAAGTACCTAAACTGACAATGGTGCTTTTTCATTCTTTATCGATAAAGCAAACATTCTTAATCGTGTGGGATTTTTAAGCACACTTTTAGCAAGTATGCATTTAAAAAATGAATAATCAAAATATTAAAACGTATAATTTAATAGCGATTTTAATCAAACCAAGCAATCTTCACTCCATGTATGAAAAGAAAAAGATCAATAACTTGTAACACATTTGGCAAATTCTACATTTATCATTTTATAATAATTTAATTACGTGATATTAAAGGACCTACCGACATTCTCGTCTTTACTGCGAAAGCACTTTTCGTTTTCTGCGTGTTTTCTCAGTTCGTCCATAACTGCTTCGACAATGGGTACCATCATGGCAGTCGTTGCGGTGTTAGATATCCACATAGATAGAAACATGGTCGTTATCATGAATCCCAACATTAGCCTGGAAGACTTTATTCGATTATTTCGTTCTATGTGACGCCTCTTAGTCGAATATACCTACCATCTGACACCGGTTCCTATCGTTAAAAGAACTTTTAGAGCAATTCTTTTATGCAAATTGCAATGCTCTACTGCTGATGCTATAGTTAAGCCTCCGACATACATCATGATTGTGTCCTTGAAAATTTTAATAAAAATTTATTAAGATTATACAGTATGTAATTTAGAATCGTATGCAAATAGTTATTTTTAAGTAAAAAACATCAAATAATTGTGAAATAAATATTTAAAGGTGTTTATGTACTGTACAAGTAGCATCCTACTGGTCATTTGGATCTGTCACAGAAACTAGGCGACACTGACCATGCAGTCGCATGACGTAGAAATTGCAGTGTGACATCAGTGGGGGAGAGAAAGGAGGGCAAATGGTGATTCGGATAATTGAACTTCGGTTAATTGGCATTCGGATTATTGGACATACAAAGAAATATAAAGCGTGATCGTACTTCACAGACACGGTAAAAGAAAAGATTTCTTCTGTGAATTAGAGTGTTTTTGAAACAAGACGGTAAAAGTTTATCAAAGAAAATATAAATGTACGTGTAATTTATATAGAAGATGGTCACGAATTCAAAAAAGTTTACCTACTAATTATACAATGATAAATGCTATAAAATGTGAATGAATGTTCAAAAATCTCATGCTTATAGTAAAAAAATTTATGTTAAAATATTTATACTTTCATGTAAGGTGTGCACGTTTCTGCAGTAGTAAGCACTCCCAGAAGAGGAAAGAGAACCACTGGAATAAGAGCAGTTACAGCCAACGGAAGAGGCTCCGTCATAAAATAAATTGCCATAATACTGATGACATATCCACATTTTGATTCCTAAAAAGCAAATTAAAAAATTGAAATATTTATACTTTAAATTTACAATTACATATTTTATATTCGAAACATTTCACGAATAACACTTTTATGAATTAATTAAATATTTAATTAAAAGTTTTAGTTTATGATATTATTCAAAAAATAACTTTTATATTATTAATTATAATAAATGAAATTGTGTATGACGCCATCTGCTGTGAGATTTTGTTATAAAAAACTTTTTATATTATTAATTATTATAAAAAAACACACAAAAAGACTTAATTTTGAGTGTAGAGACAAGTTTTATTTTTAAAAAAATAGCAAATGTCAATAACGCTCACAATCTTTACTAATTTCGACACCTCTGGAGATATGACACATGACACCCCCTCCATCTCCCCACAATCTCGACCCTTAGCCATCAAAATTTAATAACATCAATGTCAATATATACAAGTTACCGTACCAAATTTCGTTTTTTAATATTCACCCCATTTATATATTAAACAAAATAGACACAAAACACACATACACATTACACACCCATGAAATTTTTGCCTGTTGTTTTGACTTTTTTGGGGTTCACGGGTCTGGTACTGGTATTATAGATTGGAAGACTGTCAAAAGACTTAACATATTTAAAGAGAGAAAGCTGGGGGAGGAAGGGGTACAGGAAGGGAACCAATACTTTCTGTTATGTATGTGTAACAGCCTAGAAAGTAATACAGTATAACTTAATAAATAATTCATTTTCGTGACGATACACGCTTCGGTTTTTCTTGTATATGTAACAATTATTCTTACCTTTAATGTATTTATTTAAAATTAAATATAGTTAATGAAACACAGTAGAATATACAGTAGTAAATTATTGGTTGTGAGTTGTTTATATAATTAGGATACTTTAAAGATTACACGCGCTTAGTTCATTGATTGGCTGAACTCGTAAAACGTAACAATAAATGAGTATTTTGAAAATGCGAATGGGCGTTATATTTCTTCTCGATTTCCGCCAATTACGCTCGCTATTTGTTTTCAGCTTCCAACCAATCGGTGATAAAAATGTAATTCATTATTATCTTGTTTATACTTGACATAATTATCCGCTCTGACTGGAGAGAATTGTGTCAAGTATATTTCCAATGCATTCGTGTCTAAGTAATTTTTGGACATATCTTTTAAAAGCTCTGGAAAAATTGTACAAAAAGCTATTATTTGAGAAACTAAGAGCTCCTTTTATAGAAAATAATGATCTTAGATTGGTGCTCTGTAATGGCGATTTCATCGAGTAATCCTTCAAGGAAGAAGGCTTCAAATTCGTGATGATTTCCGAATTACAAAAGGACATACTTCGAGTTATTTTTATTCTAATCTTCCACTTTCGCTTTCTAGATTCAGCAGAATATTAATTAGTTCAAGGACATTCGAACGTCAAACTAGAAAATGTCTTCGTAAATACAGAAACACACTCGATAATTCGCTTATTGTATACAAAATAGCGTTGTATGCCATCGAATAACATTGATTACGATGTCACTTAATATCATATTACAATTAAACTGGTTGGAACAAACTATCAAGAATTTTTCCTGAATATTCTTAAAGTTTTTATTCTAGTGGATCGAATATTTCGGGCATTATTCTAATGAGAACACGAAAAAGATACGATAAATATTACTTTCCCTGCTGTTATAATTTAATATATAACAAAGGAAAAGTATAGCGATCGGTCAAAAAAAAGATCCCCTCCTTAAGATTTTTACGTTTTTGAACTTAGAAACATCGAGAAATGAAAAAGAGTGTATTTTTCTTCTGTATGTGTGGATGTTAGTGTATGGGGGTGCACGATTTTGTTCACCTTCTTTGAAGCTTAATAACTCTTGTGTCTTTTGTCGAAAATTTCTGAAATTTTGCAGGATGGTTTGTGTATTAGGGCGATTAATGCTGTTAAATTTTGGTGGTTAAAGATCGAGAGGGTGGGGAGATAGAGGGAATCGTGTGTCGTATCGCGAGTGGAGTCAGACTTAATTAAGAAGTTATACGTTATTACCATTTGCATTTTATTTTTTTATTCTACTTTCAATAATACCTTATGTTGTATGTTTGTATTTAAGAATGTCATACTTCACTTCATTTAATTCCCCTATTAAAATACTTATAAAAGCATGCTTTCGATTGTTTTAATTTTTAAAATATTACAATATACAGTAATATATAAATTATTCTTTATTTCTTTTTATAACTAGGTTGTTATTTCTAATAGGTTTATTATCACAAACAGAAAATATTTGAATAGAAATTTAGACATAAAATATATTAAACGTTTTCCTTGTGTAAGAGAACAAGTTCTATTTAATGATACTGTTTGGAAAGATAACATGCACCCTATGTTAGTTCGTGAGATCTTCCTATTGGATGAATTCGAATTGGTAGAATATTATACATCAATGTGACGCAAATTTTGCATTTTTACTACACCGGCTATTATTATATAATATAACAAAGGGGATAAGTATGACAATAGATCAAAAAGTGGCCCCCCAA